TTACGCCAAACATTCGGTAGAATTTATAGAATATTTAAATATATATATATATATATATATATATATATATATATATATATACGCGTTTATGTTAATGTTTCGTGATTTGATTAGGATACAAAACTATGGGGCACGGAACCTAAATGTATTTTTAAAATCGCTTGTCAATATAACATCCTCTTTAGTATATTATAATTTAATTGAACTTTACCTTTATTTAATGATGACAATTCGTTACATTTGATTATGTGATGTCAATGATGACAAATGAGTAAAGGAAGATTACGAAACGCTAATGAGCTTGTGACTATATATACTGTTTTGAATTTTCAATTGTAGATAATGTTGTCTCGCAAGTTCTCTTGCATTTAAATGATGTCGAACCCTGAGATGATTTTCATTTAAATCACCTGTGCGACGCGTGTGGGTGTTTTTTTATGTACAGTTTGTTTTTAAGATGAAATGACTCTTCATTATTATTATATCCACTCACCACCTTAATCATTATTACATTCGCATCCTTTCATCACCATCATCATTTTTCTTCGTGATTAATACTACTACCCTATCGCGAACCATTTAAAAAAAATTTACCAATCATATTTAGCAATGTATGTAACGTGTAATATATGTTAATATATGTTAATACGTAGGCGTTATTCATTTCATTCGTTTATTCTACATTTTACAAAAATTACCATGCACAATCCACGCAATAATGGATTAAATTTTACTATATATATATATATATATATATATATATATATATATATATACATATAAATGTATAAACAACATACATGTATGTGTGTGTGCGTGCGTGCGCGTGTGTGTGTGAAAGTATTTTCCTTTACATTAAAGAAAAAACACGTACGTTGCTTCGGGAGAATTCTATTATGATGTAGGAGTTTATATATTCAATCATTCGATCATCTAATAAATGATAATATTAACATTAACAATACGAAGACGAAGAATACGAATAATAATAATAATAAGAATGATTTTTAAATGTTAAATATAATTTTATTCCAATAGTAATATTTAATAATATAATTGGTTTCTTAGATGAAACAAAAATTAATAATGTTTAGATGATTTAAAATATCTTTTTTTTATATATATAAAACGCTTACGCAGTGTTTAATTCACTCAAATTACATCTGCACGCAATGCAATGCGTGTATATGTGTGTGTGTGTGTGGTGAATGTATTACTTTATGTGTGTGTGTGTGTGTGTGCGTGTATGTGCGTATGTGTTACTTTATGTGTTTGTTTGTGTGTGTGTAAGAAAGTCTTACAGATTTTATATTTTCACGAATGGAAGAGTGTGTAAATTTGTGTAAAAATGTTTTTTTTTAACGCACGTATCACCGTTTATACAGAATGTACCCAGCATTTGATAAATCTCCGAGCTTTTATTGAAAGTTGATTTTACGTATTCAAATGTCTCTAATGTATTTATTTTGTTTTTTAAATTTGTCTGATCCAAATTAAATATGAAATATATGTGCAAGAGGCGTATAATGTGTATTTAATACGATTTATATAGGTACGAAACATAGTACATATTATGTATGTAATATAAAATATATATGATTTTATAAAAATGAATATACAGAGTACTTATTTATTGACAATTTATTTATTAAATGTTATTAATTTTTCTTAAATGCAATTAAACTGAAAAAAATAAAATTTGCATCTTACTTTGTATCTTGTGTTTGTACTGCATTGTACAAATTTCAGTTAAATGAATAGTGATAGACAACTAACTAAACATTTTTAGTAAAACCTTAACTATTTTACGACTTAAAATAGATAGTTTAACTAATAGTTATAAACTTATTTTTGAAAATAGTTAACTAAACATTATATATATACATATATATATTTCAGTCTTATTTTTTATTCTCTGGAAAAGATTACCTGGACCCAGAAAATATAAGAAAAATAAAGTATTTGAAAAAAGTAATGAAAATGTTATGTCAGTTTTCCAGAAGTACATTCATGTACATATTTTTATATATAGGGGAAAATAATGCAATTTTAAAATTGCTTCGGCATGTCATACTTAAACTTATTTGTGTCTGCCATTTAAAAAGCTGTTTAACTAGCGTTTGACCTAAATAAAGTAGTGTTTCTGTGGTATTTCCAGACTTTTTTCTCGCGTTTCGTCGCTTTTTAATGCTAGTTTGCTAAATTTTCAGTTACATACTGTTATTACCTCTTTTTTCAGTTTAAATAAAATGTCTTCAAAACCTCACGGAGATAGTTTCGTAGTAAAAAATTATCGACTGGCTGTTGTTGGTGGTGGGGCCGTTGGTAAAAGTACCCTAACTATCCAGTTTATTCAGGTACGTCCATTGTTGTATGTATGTCAATCAATGTATAATTTGTAATCTCATATTGTCAGTAATTTGAAGTTTTTTGAAATGTTAAATTATTTCTTAGAGTAAACAAACCACATCCACTTTTTGGTCTTGTGACAAGCAATATTAAATACGCCGAACCTAGCGACACGGCGGCCGTTTTCAAATGTTAAAAAATTATAGAAACGGCGGCCAATTTTAAATGTTAAAAAGTTTTATAGACACGGCGGCCTTATGCAAAAAATTGTGGTCACGGCGGCCGTTTTTCAATAAAGCTCACTCACCTTATGTGGAGGTACATGGTATGCTCCAAAAATCATCTAATTAAATTGCATTTTTTAATCATAAATAAATGAATGTTTTCTATAAATATTCGCTTCTAGTGAATCTAATTGATTTTGAATGTTTTTTTATGTGTTATAATTACAGGTTGCTTTTTTTACAGATTACATATTTATTATATTATATCTGTACTGCTTATTTGTTTTAATTATAATTTCTAAATTTTTTTTATAGCACATTTAAGAAAATACATAAATTGTTAGAAATGTCACTTATCCGATTAATTTTAAATACAACTTTGAATTGCCGGATGGGTTTTTAAACTTTCAAAACGTTTCAGGCGAATTGTATTTATTTAACATTGAAAGGAATTACGACGACAAAATACAAATATATACACTAATCTACAATATAGTTTATATCCAATAATATACAGCCAAACATAAAATGTTTTATTATATTGTTCAGCTATTATTTCCTGCATGCTTTACAAAACCATTCTTTTTTACTTGGAGGCCTTTTGATGCCTGCACAAGAAAAGTGGAACCACTTGAGACAGGAATCACAGGAAACACTTCGAACATCCCTAAGATCATTGCTACAGGTTCCACACATCCATTCTTCATTGGAACATTTATTTATCATTTCTTTCAAAACATATAGATCTAAAAAATCTTTCAATAAATATAGACATTCTTGTACTTGTCCATCTAAGAACTGACTTGGTACTGATTGAATATTGCTAATATTATAATCTTGTCCACTACCAAATAACCATTGTAACATCAGTTTTTGCTTTTCTCTTGTTGGCTTCGAAGCAAAAGATATAGATTTGCAATGTTTTGAAGGCATGCCTAAACAGGTTAGTGTTGCTCCTTTTGGTTGACCTCTTGATTTAAAAGCTCGGGGAAAAAGAAGCTCTGAACATGGCAATGATGATGATTCTGTTGCTCCTGGTATTTTTTGAAAAATTGATAAGACCTTATCAACTTGGTTTTGGACATCAGCACTTGTCACAACTTTTCCAGATACCTGCGAAAGATACTCTTTCACCTTAGTGGGATTGGCTCCCATACCGATCATCAACTCAGCTTGTTGTTTCTCTTCCTCGCATAATTTTCTTTGCTGTGATGTGTGTTGAAAAGTCTCTGGTACTATTACATGATTATGATCATTTATGATTGATCTTACAACTAATTTATCACCATTCTTATTTGCTCCAAGAACTATTTTTGCTGGAAAATCATGTTTGATGGTACTGAAAAATAAATTATAACATTTACCATTACTTATATGAAAAAAAAAATTCAAAAATGAAAATACTTTTGATTAGGCCTTTTACCCGATCCTTTGCTTTTATAAGAGCCATAGTGTTGACAACCCAGCTTAATTTAGGAATACATCAGATCATCACTGAAGTATAAATAAAGGTAAGATTGTAAATAAAATATATATGATATAATTATAACAATAATATGATCTAATAATAATCTTTCACAAAACATGAGAGGTTAGATACTATAAATAAGCAATGAGTGCAGTGTGGTCATAATCTTTTTTAGTTCCTTATCCTGTAATTATTTACCAACAATTTGTCATTACTTGGTTTCAACAAACTAAATTACTAAACAAAACCTTTGTGCCAAAAACTACAACTCAGCACTACACAAAAAGCATTAGATTTTTTACAATTATAGCACACACGTGGCATATGGCAGTTTTACTCAAACTGATTTTCATTGTGTAATAGACAATACAATTAATGCTAATTTAGTGACAAAGATATGTTGTGATAAAAAAGTGTGCTAATTACAAAATCAACCAGTTACGAATTATGACAATTTTTAACAAAATTATTAAAATAATTATCATAAATAATCATAAATTGCTCACCTGAATGTTTTATTGGGTTGCTTCTTTCGTGCTCTTTCCACCGTTGTTGAATCAGCAACAGTATAATTAACATATGATTCTTTTTCATATTCAGATTTTTTCTTTAAATCTATAAAACTAACAAATTCTTCTCCTTCAACAAGCAATAAACAAATAAACAAAGTAACAAGAAAATTTGCGTCAAAATTACTAAATTACTAAAACACTTTAAATCTACACGGAGCACGAGGAGCAACAATGGAGAACGAAATGTATAACCAAAGATACTCTATATATTGCGTCACAAAATTACGTAGTAAAAGTTGGTTACGAAGTGTATGTTTAAAAAACTTATGTTAAAAAAATAAATTTGTCACTATATCTAAAGAAAATATAAATATGAAATAAATATATTTTGATTTTTTTTGCCATTTTTCAAATTTTTAGCGAATTTATATAACCGGTCGCCGTGTCTGTAATATTTTTACGTTCAGAAACGGCGGCCGGGTCTATAGTTACTGTGTATTAAATAAAAATAAGTGAATGATGATGCACTTATTTTTTTAGTTTAAATATTTGTCTTGAATCATGTTATTTAATTGGATTTTGCTATCAAAAATGTAAAAAAAAAGTTTATTTGCTATTTATTCAAATCAGTTAAATTATTTTCTGCTCATTTAGGTTAGTTTAGAGAAGTAGATTTCATGAATTAATCACCTACATGATCATTTTTTGCAAAGGTTTAAATTAAAACATTAACTTCAACTAACTATTCATGCGAACTTGCATGCTATTTATAACTCATTATTATAGATAGATAAATCTAAAACCATTAATTTCAGTCGTGTTTCGTTACTGACTATGATCCAACCATTGAAGATTCCTACACAAAGCAGTGTATCATTGATGGCATTGCTTCCAAACTTGACAGTAAGTTTGCATTTGCAGGCTGTTATCTTCTGCAATACTGTTAAACTATTATGTCATTTTTCTTATACTTTTCGTAGATTTTATTTCTTTATTATTAATCTCCAATTTTTTTTTAGTAACACTTAGCGTAATTTATTTGGCATTATAGAAGCTACTTTTAGCTTGTGATATCTTATAAGCACATATCACCATAGCTTACAAATTTTACCATCAATTTAAAAAGCAAATCTTTAAATAAATTGATTTTATTCTTACATAAGTAAACTTTTAGACATGACTTGTGTCTGTATGTCTTTGACTAAATTTTGCCACGAGAGGATTGTACATATTTACAATTAATAAAATAAATTATAAATTTACAAATTATTTTTATTTATGAATTAACTTTAAATTTGAAAATTTTCCCAAAAAGTTCTTGACACAGCTGGCCAAGAAGACTTCCATGCAATGAAGGAACAGTACATGAGAACAGCCGAAGGATTTTTGCTTGTCTTTTCTGTTACTGATCAAAATAGGTTGAAAATATAATGAAATAAATATAATTTTTTTCAAATTTATTAATGAAATGTTTTACATTTGAAGGATAATTATTTTTCATTTGAGGTCTACCATATTTAATTGAATAATTAATGGATTATAATTAATGAAATGAATTATTATAATCATTATTTTAATTAATGAATTGATTAGTTAATTGAATAATTAATGGGTTAATTAATTAATTATTTATTTAGCTAATTCAATAATGTTATAAAATTAGATGGAGAGACCATTTTTAATTGAAAAAATATTCACAAACAGTTTTGCAGAAACGAGCAACTTTTATATGCAGATCTTGAGAGTGAAAGACAGGGAAGAGTTCCCCATCATATTGGTTGGCAACAAAGCTGATTTAGAGAGCAGAAGACAGGTGAACTTTTCCATTGTTTAGTTTTCTTTTGTGAGATACCCTTGCAGCCGAATTTTGTGGCGATGAAATTTATTACCATAAAGTATTCCTTCCACCAGGTAACGTCTGAAGAGGGCCTGCAGCTTGGCCGGCATCTTGGCATTCCATACATCGAGACAAGTGCAAAAAATCGAATGAACATCGATGCAGTCTTCCATGAATTAGTACGCATGATTAGGTCAGACGCTTTTTTGCTAAATCATCTTTTTGACGATTAACAAACTTATTTTTTTTTTATTAAATTATAAATAACCAAACAAGCAAAATGCGTGTTTGTTTGTTTGTTTGAGTGTGTGTGTATTTGTGTTAGTGTGTGTGTATTTGTGTTAGTGTGTGTGTATGTATATATATATATATTATATATATATATATATATATATATATATATATATTTATATATATATATATAATTAGAATCAATTGTTTCATTAATGATAACAGAAAGTTTCAAGAAGCCGAGAGGACACCATGCAAACAGAAAAAAACGCAAAGAAGAAGCAACTGCTCCATCTTTTGACTTTTTTTGACACATTTTCTTCAATTGCTGATCATTTTTATTACGTTATTATTTTATTTATTTTTTCTTATATTTCATCAATTTTCAAACATTTTGTTAAATAGTTTTTTGTTAATTTACTTATTTGTTTTTTTTTAAGAGATTAAAGTTTTATTTTAATTTTGAGACAATCTTAACCTGCCCATACACTTTATCACTTAGTACTTATTTCTTAGGGTTAATTTATTAGAAATTTTCAGAAAATTGTTGAAAAATTGAAAGTTGATTAAATTCTAATTTTTATTCTTTTTATTATTTTCATATTTTGTTTATTTAAAAATTTATTTATTTATTGATCGATATGTGCATTTTGCTTAATCAATCTTCCATTCATACTTTAACTTGTTTATATATTTACGCTTATATATGTTTGTGTGTGTTTATTTGTGTGTTTGTGTGAGAGTATGTATGAAATTTGTGTGTGTGTGTATAAAATGTATGGTGTGTGCGTGTGTTCGTGTATGTGTGTGGTGTGTGTTTGTGAACATTTTAGATACCTCTAAATTCAGGATGAAGATGAAGGCTTTTTCTTTTTTAATTTTCAACCTTACTATATGACAATTGGCAATCTCCCTTTCATTTGTCACGCATATTCACTTACGTGCATTTATTTATTTATTCATATTTCCGTATTTATTTATTTATTTATTTTTATGAACTTTTTTATCTTGTTTATTTTATTATTAAATTTATTTATGTAGATTCTATTGGATTGGAGAGAACTGCCAAGATTCATTTATTGTGTTGACTAGAATTTTCAGTTTTAACGCTCCCCCTTTGAAGTAACTAAAATAGAGGGAGTGCTTACCCTACCTGCTATTGGTAGGTCGCAAGAAAATGTAGATAGTGTGTGAATGCGTGAATGTTTTTTCTGGAGTGATAGGTATCATGAATTAGTTTTTTTGTAATTTTATCTTAACTAATCTGACACAATGACACAGTGATTGTATCGTTGTATCTTATAATGATACAATCATTGAATCATATATATATATATGATAAACTTACTAACCAACTAACCAACTAACTAGCTAGCTAGCTAGCTAGCTAACTAACTAACTAACTAACTAACTAGCTGAATAACTAACTGACTAGTAGGCTTTTCTCCCTACTTTTATTCATTTCCACAGCTCGGAGTATGTGTATTGCATTTATTATTATTTTTATCATGTTATTATTAATAATTTTATTATGTTATTTTTTATGATAACGAATTAACTAGTCTCTTATTTGTTTGTTTTGTTTTAATTTCTGCACTGTTAGCCGTCACGTTGATTATCTTTTTTTTTCTGTTTCCTTACACATTAAATCATTCATTTTCATTGTATATATATATAACCATAGATATACAGTGTATATATATATATACCTGTTTGTTTTACTGTTCTAAATAAATGGGTTGGCGTTATTTATTATGATATTATTATATTTAATTATTCATTTTTTTTATAAAAGGGATTTATTAATTTGAATTTCATTGTGTGTAAAAAGAAAATATGAATATTCATCTGTTATTTTTTTTTCTACATTACGGCTGCTACACAACACTAGATACAGAAAAAATTTATCACCATTTTCTGTCAAAATTTTTTTGCGGTCATCAATCATAGCATAATAAGGCTGTTTTTTTCTTGATTTTTGTTGGTGTGGCTTTTTTATGGGGTTTTTTGTTGTTTTTGAGAGATGATCTGTATATTACTGTAGTGTGTGTGATGCATTGATTTATGCCTGCCCACAAACCCACAAATGCTGTGCGTCTGTATGTGCTGCTGATTGCTTTTAAAAATTTCTTTCTTAATTAAGATCAAATTAATATTAATTAAGTTGGCCAGAAAGTTGACCATCATTTCCTTGTTATTAAGCATTGATTTCAATGCCATTTTACATTTTTTTCAGTATATTTACGATTGAAATCGTCGTCTGTTATGCTTATCATAATCACACTCAATCATCATCTTCATCATCGTTAATGATGTTGAACAGACTATGTTAACAACGTCGTTCATTGTCATGTCATCACCACGTTATCTATGCCTACTCTTATATCACTTGTACAGTTGACACTAGTCTCAAATGCCTTAGAGGTTTTGTATTAAGTACACAACTTATAATTTTGTTTATTTCAGATGTTATTCATTTTATTTGAAAATGATATCAATACCTTTGTTTTTTTTCAGTTTCATATCTTACGGCGGGATATTTTTTTGTTTGTTGAATGGTCATCCGTTTCTCCACATAACATCTTCGCTACTTTTTTGCTTTCAAATGTTTTATTTTAAATCAAATTTTATTTCAGTTAATTCCATCTCACGTGTATAACATATTTCATATTATGCACATGATTTAAATATTCACTCTGCTTTTCTAATGCAATCAATCTTTTTTCAACTAAATTTATTTAAATTTAAACTCCTCTTTTCATGTTCTGAGTGCAGTGAATTTTTAGATTTTTTTCGTGGTCACCTATTCGATATGATTCTTTTTTTAATTCGAGCTTAACAAGCAATTTTCACAAAATTTTTTCAAAAGTTGGCCTAAAAGTTTTAGAATAAAAGAAGAAGGAACGATGACCTCCATGTTATCTCTTAATTTATCTTCTATTTTTCGGGTCCAGACATTCCTTCCCGGAAGATACAAAATAAGACTAGAAAATATTGAGGTTCTCGTGCCTTGTTTTAGAACCTTTTTGTATTATCTTTTCATCGTTTTCTCAACAGCTGTCTGCACTGTTTACGTGACCTGCTCTAGATTATTTTTCAATAGTCTTTTCAATCATAGTCTTCTACTTCTTTTCAAACATTGACGCATTTTGGGATATATCTCAAAAAAGTATGGTTTTTATGCATTGATATTGAAATTTTGGTTGATTCGGCATAAGATTGTTTGAGATTTAACATTTTATTACATTTAGGCGAACGAACTGTAAGATCATTTGTTTCCTTTTCACGCCTGCGAATTTTTTTTTAATAATATGCTTATTTCCATTTATTTTCATGTTTCGTTTTGTTTCACACTTCGAAGTTTGTGTTTAGTGATTTGCTTCTTTTAAAAAAATATTTTCTGTTTTTTTGTTTATCTGTAACTATGATACAGTGATTTCAACACATACCTGAATTGTAAGGTTGCGTCATCTGTTTTCTTTCTGTACTTTTTTTTCATTTTATTGACAAGTTTTTTTAATTTATTTTAAAAATACTGAACTTTTTCACAAGTGTCGACTTTTTTGTTTATTTTACCGAAGCGTCTATGTTACATGTAGATCATTTCATAATCGAAACTCGGTACTTTAATTTTTCATTTATTACATTTCAAATATGAAAAAAATTAACTAAAATTTAAAACTTGAAAACATAAAATATAATCGACCCGAATAAAAATATAGATTAACTAAACTATAAAATAACCTGTAGCAAAATTGAAAAACAACCAAAACATGCTAAAAATGAAAACTCTAAAAAGTTAAAATAAAAATGTTCGCAAAATATCCTGCGTTCAAATAATTTAAAAACATTTCCCTCTATTTCATCCAGTTAACTCTCAAGGAAAACCTGACTGCGCGGTTTTGAAAAAGAAATTAATAACGCATTATATGATCGATATGTATTTTTTATATAATATGTTTGCCACGGTTAACTTTCGCGTATAAAACATTGCTTGGAAAAAAGTGATTTGTGTGTGCTTATGTGCAACAATTTTCTAAAAAATGAGGCATTTCAGAAAGTCGGATACAATTTTAAGGTTTACGCCAAAACTGGTTTGAAAAATTAAATTTTTTTAATCTCTACTTACCTTTTTAATCCTCCTCATCATCATCGTCGTCGTCGTCAACATTGTTGGCGGGTTTGGCGGCACCAGAAGTACCAGCTTGCGCGCCTGCTTTCCCATCAGTAGATTTAGAATCTTTAACCTGGCTTGTTTTGGACTTCTTCGAAGTCATTTTTTCTTCCCTTCCTTGGCTTCAACATTCTTCTCGGCAGTTTTTGCACCAATTTTCGACTTCAAGTTTTTAACTGTTTATATAAAACGAAATTGTTTGAAAAAATAATATAAAAAAACTAAATATTCAAATGATTCATTTATACTTTTTATTTCATATTAACAAATGTTTGTAGAAATTTTTTTGCTGAAATGTAACAATAGACTGACTTTGTCAATTTAGATTATTCACCAAAGAGAAGAGAACGACATTTATAATACAACATAGAATGCAATGAAATAAATCTGCAGACTAGTGCCCGCCTGACTCAATGCCTGCTTGGTAGAAGACAGGTTTCTTCACTCTTAAATAAGCCACGGCCGCAGCCACTGATAAGAGAAGGATGGAGATGAATGACAACCCGACAATGAGTGGTGTCAGATTAATTCTTTCTACTACTTGTGCCGAAGTACATATGGTTTGTACGTTTGTTTGACGTGTGATAGAAAATATTTAGAGATCACATCATGCGGTTTATATCAGTTGCAACTTAATACCAGCAACTTCGCTAAATCTATGTTCCATATTCATACAATCACGGCTTCAGAAGCAAAATAAAAATTTCTAAACAAAACGGAATGAAACTCGTAAGGATGTATTGAAAGCTGTTACAGCTTATATTAATGTTAAGGTAAGCACTCGAACAACAAATTTTTCAACAACTGACCGGAAATATTAAAATCAACTACAAATGTACGAGTCACATAAAACTGGCATTCCGTTATAACGACTTTGTTCACAACGGCTTTTGAACACACCGCTTCATTGTTACAATCACCATTATTCACTAAACAATCTGAAAATTATTTGGGTGGTGCTTGTGTGTGTGTGTGTGTGTGTGTGAGTGTGAGGTGTGTACTTGTGTGTGTGTGTGTGTGACTGTGAGGTATGTGCTTGTATGCGCATATATTTATGTATTTAAAATGTGGCAAAAAATTGAATATTTGTTACGATTTAAAAAAAAACGTCCGACAGAGCAATCTCT